GATGAGTGCGTTTTTACCTGCTTTGTATGACCTGGAAAACACGATCTAGTGTGAAACAAAAATAACTTACCCCACAAAGAGCCGCAGCGTAAAAAGAAAACGTGCTGCACGGTACATAGAATACTAGGTAACACCGGTTTGTCCGCTCAACACAGGGCCAATGGTCACCACTTTCTTCAGCTGACGTCTGTGACCTTGAGCTGACCTAGGATGATAAACAGCTGACAATTTAGGCCATTTGGAGCTCACTTGACAGCTGAAGAGCGTGATTTAAAATATAAATATTTGTCAGGCACTGATAAAAGATTTTATTCACCAGTCATTTTTTAAGCACATTCTGTCATAAATTAGTTGACTCCCTCTGGTCTTCCACACGGCAGAAAATGCAAGTGCAAATTCTGCCGTCTTGAAGTGAGCCAAACGCTTATGATACACATGATCGTTTCTCTCAAATCACAACGGAAACTGCGAGAAAACAAGAGAGAGTCGGACTCTACAAATGAATGAATTTGGAAGAAAAATAGCTGTAAATTTTCCTGTGGAAATGTTGACTTTGAAAACATTGGCCATCAACTTTAAAATTGCCCCCAAATATGAAAATGTGTGAATTGACAAAACAGGCAATCTTGCTGTTTTTGCCCAAGTTTGTTCATGATTGAGAGAGATTCGATGCGAAAATGCACTGATATATACTTTTGAAAGCGAGGTCTCGATCAGTGCATTAATTTTGATTTTTAACTTAACGCTAGTCCCACTTTTCCCTCCAAGAAAATATATTTGTCAATTTTTCAATAATCATATTATGCGTTATTGCTTTAAAAATAAAGAGAGTCGGACCGTAATTCTTTCAAAATGACTGATCGTGCTCAATATCTATCGGAATATATCAACAGATTGGCCAGACTCATTGGCTAAATATGTTTAAATTGCATTTTTCTTACTTTCTGCAGAATTTCCTGCAAAATTTTACTGTAGTTTAAGGTGCGTTTCCTGCAGATTGTGTTCACAGACCAATGGGAGACAAGTATTTCTTCATCAACAGATTTATTCGCCATCAATTGGTCTAGCTGGTGTTTTTCGTATGCGCAGCTTATGTCACAGCTGCGTAAGAACACGTTCGCTTTAAATCATTATGGGTATTTCTTTTCGGAATATCAAAGGTCAATGTTGATGTGTTTCGTGTGTTTCATAAGATTTGTGGTGGCGGGATTATCGTCATTAACTAATTACTTGATATCAGATTTTAATTGGGAGTGGTGTAATTCCCGCACGACTGTTGACTTTCATTGTAATTGCCTGAGCTGGTTCCTGGTCCGCCTCAGATAGCAGGATGGTGTGTCAAGTATTAACTTGACAGGAAGGTGGGTACCCAGACACTGAAATTTCTGTGTAATTTGCGCCAAAAATTAGGTACCTATTTGTGCAAAATTTAAACCCTTTTTATATAAAGCACATGTGCACATCTACCGATCAAAGCTATATCAAGGCTATGGCGTCTGCCGCCATGCGCCGAATTCGGCGCATGCGAAGTTACCTACGCCAGACATGCGCTGAAATTTTCGGCGCAATCCCGCCACTATGCCGGACATGTTAGGCATAACGTGTATTATTTCCAGTCTAGTACAAAACAAAAATCAAACCTTACCTAACCCCATGTTGCATGTTCATATGAACTGTAGATCAGATATTTTTTTGAAAAAATACCCATCTTTCATCCTTTCAGCATACCTACAACCTACTAAACAGCCTTGGTATCAACCTAGCATTCATACTTTATCTGCACAAACATATTGATATATGTGGTATGTTTTGTTCAGTAGGTTATATGTAGTAGGTCAGCCGTCAGGTGCCTACATGCTATCATTTGTCATGCTTTGATTTCAGATGGTGTCTTGTGAGGGCTTTGTGGCCCTCGTGCAAGGGTTAAGTGTTGATGCACATAATGCAATGTGTTTTTTCCATGGGCGCAGGAACCTCACGTAAAGTTTGGGGGGGGGCAGAGAACTTCAATGTCACTTTGTGGGAACCGTAATACCCCTATGAACAAATTCTTTGCAGTTTCGTGCTCATCTCACCTTGCCGAACCATTTCTTGCTCTTGGTTTTGAATTTAAATGGAAAATAAATATTTTACTTTAAAAATTAGCATAGCTGAAAAGTGGGGGCATGCCCCCCCCCCCTCCGCTCCTACGCCTATGGTTTTTCTTAATGGTGCAAATCATCCACATTCATATGTGAAGGGTAGGTAGCTACCTACAGAACCAAATCAATGCCTCAATTGCTCATTGTTTTCTTACAATAAGTCCCTCCTCTGCCAATCGCACTAAAGTATCTACTGTCACAATGCAGTGTGCGTCATGATTTCTCAACTCTATGCTTACAATATATTTCCATTTGTCAATCACATATTGTTTTTTGTTACAGGCTTTCCGTTTATGACTGAGGCCGGCATCTCACCTGTCCTGGCTACGCCAAATCACTGCGGATGCCGGATGCCGAGGACCGGAGAGCCAACCGCTTTGAGGCGTGAGCTCTGTGGCGTGGCTCGAGTGACGGCTACGGCGCCGTCGACCTGGTTGAATAGCTGGGGCCTGGACGAGGGTGCCCTTAGTACGGTGGCCAATCGGTTACGTCCGAGGGGCGCTCGAACACGCTGCCGTCGCGTGGCTGCCGGCGGCCGCCCCCTCGCACGTGAATCTTCTGGAGCGAGGACTGCGAGAGGCGGCCGCATCATCACCTGTGTCCGCGCTCAACACCGTGCCACGCACTAATGGCGGAAGCCCGACTTTCTCCGATGGAGGAGAGAAGCTGGACGCTGGCTGCCAGGCTGCTGGGGAGGGCGCTGGCTCTGCCATCAGGGGACCCCCTGCGCGCGACCGCCAAGGCCTCGGCACCGGCGCGCCTGTCTTCGGTCCGAGGCTGGAGATTGCGAGGCCGCCAGGCCTGGGCGAGAGCGAGAATCCCACCGTGTCAACAGACGGCTGGCGTCACCTTCCGGTTGGACGTGTGCCCGATCCGGGCTGGGGCCACGGCGGCGGAAAGGGAAAGCGTGGCTACGCTGCACCTCGCGTTCCTGCCCCTGTGTGCTGTTCGGCTTTGGACGGACGGATCTGCGGAGGGCGGAGTCTTCAGGTGCTGGGCGGGAGCCGTGCTGGTCTGGCTGTATTTGTATTTGTATTTACATTTAAGAGCGATCCACATACAAAGTGCGTGGCGATTACTGCTCAGAATCCGTATCCGCGGCTGCTGATCTAATCATTCAAAACATTTGCACATTCACTCACGTCAAAACAAGGACAAGGCTGGACGAAGAGGCCGAGGAACTGCGGGCCCCGGCCGGAGAGCTGTGCTTTAGCTACCGCGCGGAGATGGTGGCGCTGGTGACCGGTCCGGAGACCCTACTCGGAAGAGACAGAGACCAGGACCTGCGTTCCGTACCTATCTGCTAACTGTGCGGTGGTGCTGGTGTAGTGCAGCATTTTTGGATGGATAGCTACATTTCACGATTAAATAGCTGTTACGTTTCAGTGCAGGTGGCGTGACGAACAATGTGGTAGTTATCTGTTGGCCACTTCTGCGGCCGCTGCTATTTCCTACTCGAAGGCGGGCGCGCTGTTTGGCTGGGCCGCCAGGATGTTCCCATTATGTGTCGACGACAAAGCGAGTGTATTCGTGTTCTTTTAATGCACAGAGGTCTGTTGTATATTTGAAGTTTTATTTTAAGTTGACGATTGCGAAGGGCAGATTCATCTTCTCTCTTTCATTTGTGTTGCCACTTTATCGTTCATGTTTGTTATAAGTGTCCATGCGGCTTGGTTGTCATCTTTATTCCTGATGTATTTTGTTTTACGAATATGCTGGTGATCAATGCAATACACTTTTGGTTAATAATGCTGCTTTAGCTCTGATCCTTTGTGGTATGTCTTGACTGTACTACTGCGATAGCGATTTTTCCTCACCAAAATATGCAGGCAACCAATGTAAATGCTGCCAAAAGTTTGTCATTACCTGATGTATCTAAAAAACATCGAGTTCCTGAACGTGGTCGTGTACTACGTAACCGGAAACTCAATAGGACGCAGAATTCTGTGAAGCAAAACTACAGAAGTGAGGCTGGCCACGCCAAAATCAAGTGAGATATGTCTAGCCTTTCTTCAGCCGCCAAGGGTTCGATAGACTATCCCCGGGTTCGGTGTCTCTCGAACTACGAAGATTTAACGTCGTCCGGCCAATCCTGGTTAAGGTCAACGGGGACTTAGCTGTGGTTATGGAACAGGATTGGCCGTCCGAGAGACTCCGAACCTGGGGTATGTTACAGCACAGCTATGTCGACCGAGTGTCGTCGCAAGCTGCACCACTAGACGAGAACAAATAAAACCGTCCCGTCCTAGGCTGACTAGGCTTAGCTAGGTGGCAGCACAGTCGCGCCGGCAGGGGGCAGTGCCACAACCAGCCGACTGATATTTTCGTGTGACGTCAGAACCGGTGCCTCCCTGACGTGCTGCAGCAAAACAACGAATCACAGCAAGCTTTTACCGCAGGTTTTACACAGCAAAAACACAAATAATTGCACCACCACAGAGTTGGAGTCCTCTTTGGATCCAATTTGGATCATACCAAGGTTTGATGAAAGCACCTCCAGTAGAAAAAGGAAAAAGCTTACGAACATCTCGAAAATGGCCAATGGCATATGAAATGAAAACTCTGTGAACCAATGAACGACGGTCTTACTGAAAAACCATGACGTCATTTGCTAAAAGCTTTTTTCCAACTTTTATCAATGCTTCCACCCCTTGATACACAAAACTCTTTTTCAGCTTCACAAATTGCAGAAAATATTTTGTTTTTCATAAATAAGCACTATAAACCATACTTAAAGAATACCAATACAATAATTTAGTTGAAATCATGAGTTAAAAAATGAGTGTCATTATATTTTGCAAAAATACCTACATTTTTTATCAATTTACGTCATTTGTTGACATAACGTTTTTTAATGGCGCAAATGAGACCTTTCATGGAAAATATTTCCATTGTTTAGATTGAAATTATTCTGGGAGGAGGCGAAGATAATTTTAATTTGCGATTAATTTAGCTTGGTTTGTTTCCTATCTTTTCATTTAGTCAAATGTGGAATTAAATTACTGCCTATTTTTAATGCAGATACCTTCACAGGGCTAACCTTTTCATAATATTGGTGAGTGAGTAGGTATCCTTACTATGCGATGTGATGCATGAATAGGTATTGACGGTCATTCATTGCGATGATTGCATGCTGCTTATCTTACATTTTCTGTCTAACATTGATAACTGCAGGTAATTTCAACGTAGCCGTATTCTTGGACATGTATTGATATAATATTATGAAATTCAGTGACCAGATGCTAGAGGGCTCTTCACAGGCACCGCAAACTGCTGAGTGCTGTGTGTGCGTCGGGACCGGCCACAGTGGTCGCAGTGTGCAGCAACAGAAGGCTGACGTAGGGACTAGGTGGATGGAGCTTAGAGCCTGTGTACGGTCCTACCGCACACAGGGTTGGTGAACGGCCCTCTGAATGCAAGGCATGGTACCTACCTAACATCAATCTTGACAAGACCCTAGATCTGTTCGGTAGCTGTTTTTATATCAGCGTGCTGTCTGTTTTCCCATATAAGGAAGTTATTGCTGGTGCTGCTTGGCCTCTCATTGGTCTAATGAATAGACCACTTGAATTCGACCAATGAGATTGAGGAGCCAAGAAGTAGCAGCATGCTCACAGCCTGCTGATAAATAAACCGGGGGCAAACAGAGCTCCTGTCACTTGTCAGTGAGGACTGAGGAGGCACTTGTCTGGTGTGTGGTGCAGTGCAGAATTACCATGATCTGGTCCTGGTGTGAGTTTTACATGGGGTTTGAAATTAGCACTGGTCTTTATGAGTAATGTTCTCATGGGTCATGGGGCATGCATGGGGCCTCTGCCAAGGTAATTTTTCCCAGGCATCCACTTACAAATCTTTAGTGTACAAACACTGCAAGGCATGGCACATTTTCAACTACTTTGCAGTTTGGACCAGATGCATCATGCATCATTCAGCATGATGCATGTTGTATCATGCACATTTTTGTCACATTTATTTTCTTATTTCTTTGTAAGCACAAATTTGCATGCCTACCTACTCATTTCTTCATAAACATGATACATATATATATATATATATATATATATATATATATATATATATATATATATATATATATATATATATATATATCTATATATATATATATATATATATATATATATATATATATATATCTATATATATATAGATATATATCTATATATATATATATATATATCTATATATATATATATATATATATATATATATACCCAGGGGCCACCACCCAGGGGCCTATCACCCGAGCTTCTCAAGAAAATGCTGCGCATTTGCACCATGGAAGCCCCCTTCAGATGCCCATCAGGGAACCTGTATCGTCAGATCGACGGCGTTGCAATGGGGTCCCCACTTGGGGTGCTCTTTGCAAACGCATACATGTGTGCGGTGGAGGACAAGGTGCTCTCCAAGCTGGACAACAAGCCTGCTTTCTACAAGCGCTACGTTGACGATGTGTGCCTACAGGTTGAAGACGCTGAAGCTCTAGAAGTTGTGAAGAAAACATTCGAAGACAACTCCGTCCTCAAGTTCACGTACGAGATTGAAGAAAGAAGCAGACTCCACTTCCTTGACGTTGACGTGGACACAGCACAAGGAGGCAAGTTTGTCACGCAAGTGTACAGGAAGCCAACTGACATCGGCCGTTGCATGAACGCTCGCAGCGCGTGCCCCAAACGCTACAAGACTGGCATGATACGCACATACGTGCGCAGAGCCATGACACACTGTAGCACATGGGAGCTAGTGCACCAAGAGCTTCAACATGTCAAGCAAATGTTAGTAAACAACGGCTACTCCTGTACAGACATTGATGCCGAAGTCAAATCAACACTGGACAAATACCAAGCGAGACAGTCACACACCAACGGCAGAGAAATGACAGGTGAAGACCAGCCCAAACCCAAGTCTCAAGTTCACAAGCTGTTCTACATGAACCAGATGAATGAGGCCTACCTGAGTGACGAGAAGGTGTTGAAGAGCATTTTGAAGAAAAATGTGATTCCAAAGGAAGGGCATGAAGTCAAACTGATCGTATACTACAAGAGCCCCAAAACATCCAATTTGGTGATCTGTAACCGCCCCAAAAGAAGCTGCCTGCAAGAGACGCATGTTGTCTACAAATACAATTGTCAAAAAGGAGATTGCAAGCTCCGAGACACATCGTCTTACATAGGCAGCACAACGATGACCCTGTCCCGCCGACTCTCATACCATCTGTCTGCGGGTGGTCCAGCTGAACACTCCCAGCGTGCCCACGGTGAGCGCATCACAAGACAGGACATGGTGGACAACACAAGCATCTTGGACAGGGAGAATAACATGTGGAAGCTGAGGATCCTCGAGGCCGCCTACATCCTAGAACACTGCCCGTCCATGTGTGATCAGCGCGAACACAGGGGACGGATCACGCTGACAGGATAGGAGGTGATGGTGAAGTGTGTGTGTGTGTGTGTGTGTGTGTGGGGAGGGGACTGTTCAGTGTATAGTGAACGAGACATTTCGTTCATTCTGATACGTTAGTATCTGCTAGATCGGTGGTAGTAGATGGAGATGTTGCATGATGGAAGCAGCACGTTTGAATTTTCGAACTAGATTCGAACAACCGTGCACTGAATTTTGACAGGTCACATCGCATTTGTTTTAAGGTCAACAAAAATGTATGAAGTAACTTAGATATAATGTAAGTGTTAAATGTGATGAGAGTGTAAAGTGTAAATGCCTGATGACGAAGTGAGTACTTCGAAACGCGTCGCAAAACGTAAATCAATATAATGCATGTATGAACATTGGAGATACTTTACACCAGCTGCCAGAAACTGACCGGAAAGTGATAAGAAAGAAAGAAAAGCTTCAAAAGAAAGTGATAAAAAACAAATACGCGATCGTATTCAACCAAACTTGCCTCAAAGAAGATATATTGCCTGCTTATACACATATATAGATATATATATATATATCTATATATATATCTATATATATATATATAGATATATATATCTATATATATATATATATATATATATATATATATATATATATATATATATATATATATATATATATATATATATATATATATATATATATATATATGTATATATATATATATATTGGTATATTTTGGCAGAATATCTTCTTTGATACATGTTTCATTGTAGACCAAGGAGTTGTGAGCTTTAGCAAGCTTTCGGTTGGTTCTTTCTATAGTGCGAATCAGTTTTTTGGTACCAGACAGAAGACCAAATATTAGTTGTCCAAAATTGCCGTGGTGGGATCCGTACATTTCACTAAAATAGTTGGTGAGTACGCGCCAGGCTATGCCTATGGAAACATCAAAACTCACAAAACTGACAATCCCTTGAGACCAATAATATCACAGGTACCAACACCCACGTACATGCTAGCCAAACGCCTGAACACCCTGCTACAGCCTTACCTGCCAACTGAACACAACCTCAGATCTACAGAGGAGTTTATCGACCTCCTTAGAGGCAGACAGCCCTCAGGCATACTGGCTTCCATAGATGTAGAAAGCCTTTTCACTAATGTCCCAGTTGAGGAGACTATTAGTATCATCCTTGACAAGGTCTACAACAGCTCGACACTACCTCCCCTTCAACTATCTAGGGAGATTCTTGAAAAGTTACTCCGGGCCTGCACAACTGAGTCCCCATTTCGTGGCCCCGATGGCCAGCTGTATCGGCAAAAGGATGGGATTGCAATGGGTTCACCGTTAGGGCCTCTATTTGCCAATTTTTATATGTGTGAAGTAGAGGGAAAACTTTTAGAAGACGCGGATGTAGCCCCCAATATCTATTGTCGATACGTAGACGACATTTTTGTAGACGTCAGAAACGAGGAGCATCTTCATGCAATAATATCTAAGTTAGAATCGAGCTCCATTCTAAAATTTACTTTTGAACTGAGTGTCGAGAGTAAACTTCCTTTTCTGGATGTGATGGTCAAAGCCCAAACAAACACTTTCATCACGTCAGTGCATCGCAAAGCTACTGACGCTGGAAAATGTTTGAATGGGATCAGTGAGTGTCCTTCCAGATACAAAAAGAGTGTTATCCGTGCTTTTATACGAAGAGCGGTAAAAGTATGTTCGTCATGGGATTTGTTATATGTAGAATTCACTAGGATTAAGCAGATATTAGTTAACAATGGATATTCAAACCAAGAGATAGATGACGAAATCAGAACTTACCTGGACAGGGAGATCGAAAAAGGTAACATGACAAACGGGACAGATGAGACGAACGGTGCAAACGGGACAAATGAGAGTAATGGGACAAACGGGACGGACGACACAAACGGGACAAACGGGACGAACAGCGGTAGAAAAATCCGAATTTTCTACCGCAACCAGATGTCAACTGCATATAAAATAGACGAGCGAGTTATTAGAGACATCATATATGGCCATGTAAAATGCGTTGACGAGAATGACCGTTTACTATTGGTCATTTACTACAGGAATAGTAAGACAAAAGACCTGCTCATACGAAACAACACACACAGCAAAAATGACAAGTTGAAGTGCACTAATGTAGTTTATCGTTTTTCTTGTCCTTTCGAAGATTGTAGGCTTCGAGATATAAGCTACATCGGTGCTACAACTACGTCACTTTCGCGACGCCTCACCATGCACTTGAGGGATGGGGCCCCCAAACAGCACATGAACCAAGAACACCACACAACACTCACCAGAAAACATCTCACAGAAAACACAGACATCATCAAAACAGAACACAACAAATATAGACTCTTCATTGCTGAAGCCTTACTCATTAGACAGCACACACCAACACTCAACAAACAGGTCAACTCATGTGTCACACTAGGCCTGTGGCGCTAATCCGGACGTCAAGAACGATGTGTCCGTGTGATTAGCCTTGTATGTGACTAGTCTAGTCACCCATACGCTGCGCAATTCCTTCTTAGGTGATAGGTATTTTTGTGTATATGTCTAAAAGAAGTGGTCTTACCCCTATTCACGAGACATTTTGTCATGTATTATGTAAAACAACTGCATCTGGTACTGTGTTTTTCGATTCGTGAACGACTTGTTTGATAATGGTTTAGAGACAATAAACCGAAACGTCACTTATTTTTAACGATTTTAACGATTGTGTGACTCATTAATGAGCAATTTTGGACAACTAATATTTGGTCTTCCGTCTGGTACCAAAAAACTGATTCGCACTATAGAAAGAACCAACCGAAAGCTTGCTAAAGCTCACAACTCCTTGGTCTACAATGAAACATATATATATATATATATATATATATATATATATATATATATATATATATATATATATATATATATATATATATATATATATATATATATATATATATATATATATATATATATATATATATATATATATATATATATATATATATATATATATATATATATATATATGAAAGGTTCAATGTTTCATCAATTCCTGAACATCAGAATCCTATTTCTCTTTGCCTACCACTTGTTTACCACGGACTCATCATTACCAATTACCTCTGAAATACCCTGGAGAACTGCTTCTATAACTCTATAGCCCAGATGCCTAAACTAGCACTCTTACAGATATTCGCAGAGCAGATGCCGGGCAGACCCAGAACCATATCAGCATCTCAGCACTGGATGATGGCCGTGGTGGTCCTGGGTCAAGACAGCCCACACTGACCTGTTTCTACCATGTTTGGTCTTTAGGTAAACAGGGGTCCCTTCACCCTTGTGAAGTTTCAGGGGATATTCATTGTTCATTGCTTACTTCATGATCAGACATCTAGAACAAGCACAGCCTATGGCACACGCCTGTTGTTATCCTAACTAGCATGTGAATATGATGCAAGGTGACAAGTTATGAGATGTTTATTCATATGCTGGGTAAGCTGTGGGTTTTTGACCTTGCCTAACCTCAACTGCCAATGCTCGAAAATGAGGAGCATGGTAATCTATGTAGTCTAGAATCCGTCATGGACGTGAGGGCCTGAGCTATCGCCAAGGGTGAAGGGGGTGGACCTCCGTGGTCGGTCTTTCGGCAACACATGAGTAGATAGGAGTTTCGGTGTAGGGGATGAGGAGAAAGGTAATACTGCTGCGCCTGCGATGTCGTGATGGTACTCGCGGTCGAAGATTCCGTCGACGAAAAGGTGCAAACGAGGTGAGGCACAGATAAAAATTCGCGAATGAAAATGTCTGCGGACGAGCAAATGCCATGACGAATATTTGCGGTGACTGAGGCGACGAACGAATGCAAGACGAATATTGAGCGTGGAATCTTGCGGATTCTGATCCAAGACGTGCTTTCAGCGCGACCATTTCATTCTGAAGTGGGTCTCACAGGATATACTTCGGGTGGCTAAATCATCCAAATAAAGGCACGTTGTGAGCGATAGTTATTGGCCGCAGACCCCTGAGTCACATTGCACTTTTATTGTGATACGTTTCACCGCTCAGCACGCCCAGCGCCACACTTGGCACGGCCGCCCATCGCCGCCGTTTCGTTCAGAATCCCGGGTCGAGCGGAGCCCCTCGCTGGGTCAGGTCACATGACCCATCGCCCCAGGCTGCCCGGTGCGGGTCACCGGCCAATGAACGGCCGCCACGAGCCCGCGGTCGCCGGCTAAGGACAGCGGCTGGCAGCCGGTTGATGAAGTTATGCTTTGAATACGAATGCTTCTTTATATTATGAACTCTTGCTTATCTGCCGTGTTATTTTGTTTTTCTTTTCTTTTCAATTATTTGCATGCAATATGCATTAATTGTTTTTTTTCTAGAATTTACATGGACTGGATGTCCTTCGTTTATTTTAAGCTCGTGAATTGTTTCGCAGTTCTTCATGACGATTATCAAAGCTAATGTTCACCTTTGCTCAAAGCTTCTGTCCTTATCGACTCTTCCTGTAAAAATATTTGGCTGACGCAGCTCATCCGACCACTCCAATTTCAGACTGGCTGAGTGGTTGTGAGCTTCGGCTGGCCAGCTAACATGGCTGACCCAACGAGCGTTGTCCAGGCGCAGATATTTCACAAACTGAAACAGCGCTTCACACACGTTCCTGATGAGCATATCCGAGAGGTCATGCACAAAGTAAGTTCATCTTTCCAGATATTGTCATCTTTTCTTGATCATCATGCTGATCAGTGGTGGTTTTGATTCAAACGGACCGGCTAGTGAGGGACTTTTTTTGCTCCTTGCAATCCTGCTTTTAATTTCATAAAAGATTAAGATGCAAGAACAGTTTGCGCTTGTTTTGCATACATTTTTATCTGCCCCCCAGTCACATCACGGGTCTTTGGACCACTACCTGTTCGTCACTGCCTGTCATGTTAAACAGCTCCCGACGTAGTGTGTTGACACGTTTCCTTTGCCCCTCTCTACCAGCACCGCTACAACGAGGTGAAGTGCTGCGACCTGCTGGAGAACTACGAGGTGGACACGAGCGTGCTAGCCGCCCCGCTGGCGCACAAGTACCAGCAGCTGTCATCCACGGCACGGCACGCAGTCGGCGTGCTCGCCTCCATGGAGCCCAACACGGCCGCCGGCATGAGCTCCACGGCCCGGCTGCTCAACGACATGAACCAGCCGCTGGAGGATGTGCGCGTCGGCGGCCGGCGACTCGACCTGCCCGAGGTCGGGGCGAGGCGACTCGACCTGCCCGAGGTCGGCGCGAGGCGACTCGACCTGCCCGAGGCCGGGGGCAGGCGGCTCGACCTGGGCGATTTCGGAGCTCGCAGACACGCCATGCCGGAGCTGAACAGTGGACGGCGGACGGAGTTCCAGGACATGGGTGGCCAGATGGGTGGTCGCAGACACGATCTGCCCGAGGCTGGCGGTCTCAGCTTCCAGCGGACGCCGCTGCGGGGCAGCACTGGCGCGCTGCCGTCGGCGTTCCCGGAGGAGCCGCGGCCTCGGCACAGCTCGTCTCCGGCCTCCCGGCTGTCGCCCGGCAGCGGGATCCGGCCGCTCTTCAGCCGCGCCTCGTCCGCCAGCCAGGAGGGTACGCTCTCCTCCGCCCTGATCCCCAATGGTGCCGCCATCGATTTTCAGTTGCGCGCCTCTCTGGCGGACATGCAGCCGTCGCCGGCGTCGCTGTTCTGGGCTGACCCGGACCCGGCGTTCCGCACCAGTTTCAGCATCTCCATCGGTGACGGCGGCGGCGGCGGCGGAGTGTCTGCGTTCCGCGCGGCGCCGTCGCCGATCCGCGCGGCGCTGCAGTGGCGGTGCGACGCGCGCCGGCGCGACTCGCCGGCACCGGCCGCCGCGCCGCCCGCTCCGGCGGCCGGCTCGCCGGTGGGCGCGCGCCGGCGGCTGTACGCGGCCGACCCGGAGCGCGGTGTGACCGTAGTGCCGTGCTCGCGGACGCTGGTGCGCGCCAACTGCGCGCCGCCGCCGCTGCTCTCGCTGGACGCCGGGTTCGCGCCGCAGGCCGAGCTGCGCCTGTCGCGGCTGGTGAGCGCCGGCGCACTGCAGGCGCCGGCCGCCTGCCGCTGTCAGCACGGCCATCCGCGCGAACTGCAGCTGCGCCGCGCCGAGCCGCAGGCGCTGGTACACACAGGTCGGTCAGCCGGGCCGGCGCGGCACGTCTGCACGAGGAGGCCGGCTCCGCCGCGCCGCTGGAGAACTAACTGTCGTGTGACGCGTGGTGCCGTCTGGTGACGTCTGGTCCGGCGCAGCTGCCCCCCTCTCCCTGCTGACCCCTCCGCCCCCCCCCCCCCCCGCTGGCTGACTCCTATCCCCTCCGACGGGCGGCGAGACCGGTCTAACGCTAATCTCCGCCGCCGTGGTCGGTTTAACTCGGCGCAGATTTTGGTTTTGTGGTAGAATTATTGATGCTAAGGCTGCTGTAGTCGTAGTAGTTGATGCTCACGTCATTCTTTTCCCGAGTTGACGTGCCATAACACGCTGAGGATATGCTACGATTTCCCCGGTTAGAACTTTGGCTAACTGCTGTTCAGGCAGCGTTCGTTATTGGTTCGCGGCATGCGTGTGTGTTATCTTCATCTTGCGTGAGTTTCTGTACTATGCATTATTTGATGACAGCTTTTTAAATTTGATGCTTGAATTTACAGTACATTTTTGCTTGCAATAGGTATCCTATTGGTTCAATTTTCTTTGCTTTTACTATTACTCGATAAACATGCACGATAGTTAATAATTTAACAATATAATTATTATATCTGTTGCAAGGAAGACCTTTCGTCGTTTGCCTAACAGGAACTTTGCTCCTCCTTATCGTTCACAGCTAGAATTATAATCGGATATGTGTCTACGTCTCTTACAGCTTGTTCTAACGCCAGCTCCCCGTACCCTCCTCTATTCCCTCCCCTACAGCGCTCATCACCAGGCAGACTGAGGCCTACAACAAGCTCTACGCCGAGGTGGAGCGAAACCGGCGCCTGCACGCTCAACTCCTAGCCGCCATCACCGCCCTCCACACCCAGTTGTCACAGCGAGCCGCCCAGGTGAGCCGCGCGCCGTTTCCTGATCGGTTTGTCGACGATTCAGTCAGGCGCCGGCTTGAATTGACGCTCTTGTTGGTGAATTTTAATGCCTTGTTTGAGTAAAGCTGGTAGGCGCTAAATGTCGTCCCCGCCGCGTTTCGAGCTTTGGCGATCGTGTGTTCATGCATACGCCTGGGATGTTTCATGACTGAAGATGTGCTTGGGGGAGGAAATGCATGCGCTGTATCATGTATGCACATGATAAAAATGTTAATCGGCATCTACTTCTGTGGCTAGGCGCTGGCATTTGGTTCAATGTTCGTTCTCTGTAAAACGAATTAAGGGCTGGTGACCATCCGCTGGTCCAAAGAGTGAGCCAGTGGGCTAGACTGGGGATATTATTGTGATATCGAACTGCTCTGGTCTCTGATGTTTTTACATTTGAACCATTGTGGCAAGAATTAGTCATGAGTCTCGCGATCAACTAGTTATAGTTATTGAATGAAATTGACTATGTCATTATAATTTTCTTCACTGTTTTATTTAAAATGCTGCGGTATGTGAAACATGCATTATTGCTGGCGCTACACCGCCTTTTAGATGCGATTCTTATATCATGTTCTGTCGCTTCCCCAGGAAGATGAGAAGGATCGACTGGCGGAGGAGAATGATAAGCTCCAGCGCGAGTGTGATGCCATATCGACCGACATCGATAACCTGCGCCGAATGCCTGGTAAGCTCTCTAAGTCGACTTTAGTTTTGTCCGTTGGTCATGCTAGCTATAGGTGTTTGTTTTTTGCATAGATGTCCTGTAGCTGTTTTTCCCCTAAAATTAATGAAGTGACACGAATTCGCCAAACTCTGAGTGATACAAGGATTCTGTGACTGCAGTGGCGTACAAAATGGTTTTTAACCCACAGGATCTGTTATTCCGAGTCTTAGTTTGGTGCCGTGACATCACTTGTGTTTGTCCCCCGTGTTCCAGGCCGGCTGCAGTCTCCCGTGTCGCCCGGCGCCTCTTCCAACCACCACCACCTCGGCAGCCAGCCGCCCGGTACGTCAGGGGACGGACGGCCCCCGCCCCGCCTCCTGTCGGATAACAGCTACGCCCACGCACACGGGCTGTTTGGAACAGGCGCGAGCCATGCGGACGGCTGGGCGGATTGTGAATCATTGCTGTTTCCTTTGGCCCGCTGATCTGTGTTTGTGTATTGTACCCGATTAAGTGGCGGTGACGGTGGTAGGCGGACGGTTGGCCTCGCGGCGTGGAATGGTGAGGGTCTCGGACTTCGGAGGATATTATCCTATGTTATTAGGAGGAGGAGTTATTAACTCCTTCTCTTGTTCTGACAGGTGTTGACGAGGACCCGGCGGAGGGACCGCAGTGGGCGTGCGGCTCGTGCACGTTCCTCAACCACCCGCTCATCACCGACTGTGAACAGTGTGAGATGCCGCGAATTGTGCTAGGTAAGTGCTCACAGCGAGCTGGGGCGATACAAGCTGGGAGGGGTGCAGGAAGGAGAGGGGTGCCGGGGCAGGGTGCCTGGGGCTGCAGGGATGAACGTCTGGTTTCAGGATTCGCTGTGATCATTATAGCCAACCGGCTTGCCCACTGTAATTACTGTGAATAATGTGAAAGTGAGTGATGTGACAGAGTCTTCGGGGACGGGTCGCTGCCTGAGCTGTAGTTTGCCAATCAGCCGTGAGGGCGCTGTCATCGCTGCTGGTCGTTGGGGGGGGGGGGGATATCGTTTTCTGTTTACGGAGGAATGTTGCAAAAGTGAAGGTAGTGTGGTGATGAAAACAAACAGGAACGATCCAAAGTAGTCGTGATAACATGTAGGCATTGCATCGCCTAAAAATCTTGGCCTTGATTTTAGTGTCTGAGTGTCTAGTGCTCTCAACCATCTGCTGAGGTAAAAGAAATGTATGGAGCGTACTGTTGGTTTTAGTATTTGAAAGAGGGATCATGTACATCTCATTCCGGCATCGCCTGCTCAAAATACGTTGTTTTACGGCCAAGCGCTGGCGCTAGAGATGCAAATGGCTTGCTACTTCGCCTGACCTCTAAATTAGTCGTCATAGCCGTCTGTTTTTGACTTCGACTTATTTTGACCAGAAGTTATTGCTGAGAAAACAACGTCAAGGCTCAAGCCTTGACGATAATTTATCGCCGCAATGACGTTGTAGAGTTGTGACGTCAAAAGGAGGCGTCCAAACCAAACATTCTAAACGTGCACGCCAGGTGGAGTTCACGCCACTTACCCAACCATATGTTCTATCAGACATTGTTGGCATTCGGGTGTTTATTTTTACAGGCGGGTGTTGTCATAACTTTTGTGTCGGCTCAAGCTAAATAGCTTTCACAAATTACGACTGGATGCTAGCACCTACTTACTGAAGGCGTTGGTAGCTGTATGCTTTCATGCTGTTATGTCCTTCAAAATTGTGGTCTGCTGAAAGAAATTGTGTAACGTTGGAGGTTGGACCAATGCCAGGGCGTGTCCGGCATTACTGGTGGGTGATAGTTCACCAGACGAATTGAATGCCAGGCTGTGTTTAGTGTCGTTAGCGCCATTAGCTGCCGTTCAGCTGTTACAAGATTTCACATAATTTGCGATATCTCAAATTATACGGTGAATGATATTGGTAATGGTGAATTGCATGGATCCGTTAGATCTCGTAGTTATCGGAAGTTTTTTTTTTTGTAATCGAAATTCAAAGTGGAGGATCCATCGGAAGTTTTTCCAATCGAAGTTGAAGACCCGGACCGGCATGCTGTTCCTCCAGAGCTGCACTCAGTCGCCGCCGCTGGGTGTGGCCCAGCCCAGCTGCCTTCCATAACCAGTCGTCGACTGCCGAGATGACTGACGACAGTGACGGTGACGGTGACGCGGCGATAACATGTTTGTGACGGCTCGGCGCCCGCGTGACGAGCTGTTGTGACGCTCGCTGACGGCCGTGACGAGAGTGACGTCTCGGTGGCGAGAGTGACGTGTCTGTGACGTTACCTGGGGCACCTTAGCCGGAGCCATCGCTTTGCGTAAATATAGCTGAATTGGTGGAGCGGAATAAAATACATAATGCGTGAGTCATGATACAAAATGCGTCACTTATATAATCGTTTACCTCATCCGCGATGTGTAAAACAAATAGTCCCGTCTGATTTTATCATTTGAGGGTCCGGAGGCCTTCTCTTTCGGTTCACACGCTGTTTGTGGTTATGCACTGAGCAGAAGGCGGTGGTTTTGGTACAAATTTTCAGTTATGCTTCCTCTTTTGCCAGTTTGTTGATTGCTAAATATTTTTGCTACCATGGTCTCTGGGTTCTGTCTACCTTTTTACTTGCTGATCCTTTCAGCCATCGACTAGTTTATCGATGCTGTGCCGCACAGCACGGCTGTATTGCGGGTCAGCGGTCCACCAGTATGTTGCCTCGAGCAATAGTGACAGTAATTTCTGTCTCGATCGTTACATGCCCTATGGGTTGTATCATAAGACAAACGTTAGCGATGAAACGGCGCCTACATCTGATTTCACCCTAGAGGAGCCATAGGCGGCGGAATGGGGAGAGGGGGCACCGTGCCCCCTTTGATTTTGGCATTTTAACATTAGCTCTATGGGCGTTGCATGGAAAGAATGGGACCAAAAATCGGCAGTGCCCCCCCCCCCTCCCTTCGTAATTGAAGGTGTTCCGCCACCACTGAGAGGAGCGATGCGACATTCCCGTCACAAGACAGGACGGTACATATCAGTCAATAATACATTGTGTCGTGTCGTCACCCATCGGCTTGCTGTCCGTGTTGTTGCCTAACGTTGTGATGTCATATTACACAGTGCATTGTCGTAGCACGGAGCACCACTGACCTTTAAACGGCTCTGATCTCAAGGATGGCATTTTTAAATATAACATTTAATGTGTAACACCTATCACTTCACATTCATTTCTGTCGCGTCCGGTGCTTGTTTTGTCAGTTGATGCTGCTGCGTTATGCTCACAAACTTCACATTCCTTCTCCCAAAGCCAAGTATGGTTAGATGACCTCCTCATTTGAACAGGTATGCTCGTGAGCTTTTTGTTATAACTAGCTATGCTGACCATGATAAAGTTAGAATCGTGGTCTTCAATATTCCCCTATTCATTCTGCAGATAGATATGGGCCTTTTCCTTGAGATCCTGAGTTTTCTCGTTTGCATCTGTATCGTATTTCATGAAACCTTTCATCCGTGCCATCCAAATTGTACTATTCACGAAGGCGAGCCTCTCCTAGTTCCCGCTAGGCGCCATGCCGGCTGTGTAACTCTGCCCGGGGGAGGAGAGGACAGCTAGGGAAAGGCATCAGCTGACGACAGTCTGTCTCTCCGTCTCTGTGTGTTATAGGCACCTACAGCCAGGACGCAGGGTACGGGCTGCCCCACATGCAGACAAGTAAGCCACCGAAGGCACTAACCCACCCACCCTGCCGCTACCCGCATCCTGCCCCTGCCTTCCCGGTCGTAGCGATCAACTAACCCTCAGCGCACTGCATGACATGTATGTTGCGTAGCATGGCTTTGTGTAGAAGAGTGCGATGAAAGTGGTGCTAATTGGGTTTTGTTTTTGGTATGAGAGCTACAGTCGCTGAAATTAGTGCCAGGATTGTTCACGTTCATTATCGCTCATTTGAGAAACTGAATGAAGCGTATTTGAGGTGAACAAAGGTTCAGCTTTTATCTGCACTATCTGAGACACTTTGAAATGATACTAAATATGGTTCAAATAATTTGTCGCTTCGTTAATGCATGAAGGAACCAATTGACGGTCCCGCTGTTACCCTATATGGTCGGCTTGCCGAATGCCGGTAGTCCCACATTATCCTTGGCTGGCTTGGACAGTAGACGTACACGAATTCGACACCGATTCTGCATGTTTCCCTTTCGGGATTTCTCCGCAGACCTCATGGGCAAGTCGAGAGTATTCGCGAATGTATCCTCGGCATTTTATCCTGGTATGGAAGAAAGCTAATATTGTATGGTAAGAGGATGTTGGGGCTGAGTGTATCCACTGCTCCGTTTCTTCCCGTACGCTAAAAAAGTGTCATGGGTCGGTGATAAAGTTTACTTTGTAAAATCTCCAATTGGATCCACTTGATCGAAGTTTGCCATAATGCACCTGGCTGACTTGACATAACAATGTGACTGTCAAACTGGAATCGGATGTTGTTTGCTTGGGTTCAGCTCCTTCTGTTCACGTTGATCTCATGTTTCTCATCTCATCTCATGTCACTTTGAACATTTTCATGTTCGCTGCCGTTGTTCCTTTCCTTCCTATCTTCTTCCCACTTCCCCTCCTATCCCTCCACAACAGCACTGTTCGGTGACTAACATCCACCAGTAGGAGTTTGAGCCGCGCCTCCGGTGCAGCCGACACCACTGACATATCCTTCCGTTTCAGATCTGAACGCCACTTAGCTACTCCCGCTATGCTGGTGCTGAATCTCCGCTGGTGAAACCGTCCGCAGTAACGCCGTTATCTCCGTGACGCGGTGACGTGAAACCTCGTGACGTGACGCGGTGATGTACCTCGTGACGTAACGCACCCAGAGGTGCGTCACGCTGCCGTCCCATGCGCCTCAAACCAAGGTGGAGCAGGTCGAAGTGTCTTAGAAATGAAGAGGATATATAGGTGACTTTTCGCTGGCCGTGCATTGATGCTGAAAAAATCGTCTAAAGAATATGAATTTCGGAGTTTAACGACCCTCTGGCAAGTGAAATTATCTGTTCCTTTTTGTTTGAGCTCTACTATCCTGACGAAGCCTAAAAGACGTCTTTCGTTTTGTTTCTTTCACACAAACTCCATATAGCTAAACGAGACGGTTACATTTAACATCACGGTATCTCAATGTCTGAAGGTGACACCTCTCTGGAGTCGACCAGGGGCCCGCCAGTGTCGGCTACTGCGCGGGGCCGCGGAGCGGTCGGTCTCCTTGTTTTGCCGGCGATAGTGCCGCGTTGTGATGTCTTTCTGTTGTGATGGGGTTGGGCGGGTCGCGGTGCGGCATCCAGTCCGCGCCGGGGACCGTGTCGGGCGGTGCCCGTTGGCGGCCCGGTTCCTGACCGCCTGTTCCCGTCCTGTGCTCGGGTCGCCGCGCAGTACCGTGATAAAGGCTCGCCCGCTATCCCCGGCCGCGCCAGGCCGGGCCGTGCTCATAGGTTAGTTCGTGGATAACACGAGATTATACACGCGTGAGCTTTGGCGTATTGTCAATAATGCGCAGGGAAATTGTGTACTGCTGGGGTTTTGTGTCGCATGTTGCCTTATTGGGTGGAAGTTAGCCTTTTATGAAAGCAGGCATCCATAGCGTTGTGCGTGCTATATTTATTACTTCGACATATAACTGCACTAGATGTGAAATGTGGGCAATACCGGACAGCTATCGTATATTGCGGACCTGTCTGATCCGTGTATTGTAACGCGGTGTATGGGCAGACTCGAAGGTCGTGCTCGCGTGACGAATGTAACCAGCGCTACGCTCCGGGGACAAAGTGGATGGCTGCTAACCACTCTGTACACTGCATTAACAGCTGTCGAACCGGCGCACGGCGGCGTGGACGGACGCGGTGCTCTACTCGTGAGGGCGTTGCTCAGTTGCTTCGATGTACCGCTGTTTTACATGAAGACGTTAACCAAAGCCTCGTGCGTGCGTTCTGTGATGAGAATAAATGATGGAAAATCGGTCCCATCTTTGTTTTCGGAAAACGTAAATTAATTTCAATCGGTCCTAGGTGTGATTTTATGAGATATCAGATGCAGAATTTCACGCCAAGCTCAAGGCGCAGCTACAGGTTGTCAGTACTTGCGGTATCGACGACACACATTTCCACCGGCGACACACATTTTCACTGTCTGGATGAACCTTGTTCCCAGACCTTGTGATGTCTATTTTCTAGTTTATCACCCTCTCCATGCCCGTGAGTGATGTCACGCTCGCACGACCAGTACCGGTTTGCCCAGCTCCTCCCATCCAATCTTCATCAGTCCGTCCGCAAGCTCTGCCCAGGGAATCCGTCTGATCCGCTCCATCAGCCCGTCAATTCCGCCTAGTCAGGTTGTCAGTTCTGACTGGTCATGCGACGTTATTGTCCAGGTAATATGTCAGCGAATGTTGGGGTGGTTTTTCGTCCATTCCTGAACGCTTTATAAGTTATAATCGGTCTGGTTTGCCAGGTCAACGTAGCCTCCTTGGTCTCAGTTCGTATCGATCTAGCGTATCACAGACCGGGGCCGGTCTGTCAGCGTCTGTCGCTCGGGTCTGTCAGCGCGTGTCGGGCTGTTTGCTCCCCGTCCGTCGGTCTGCTGACGGCTCCACCGTGCCCGGCCGAGGAGGAACCTCCCCGCGGCGGTGGCAGTCGCCGAACGGTTCACCATGGAGCGCGGCGTGCTCCGTGCCCTGCTGCCGGCGCTCCTCGCGGTACTGGCCATCACAGGTGGGTCCCCGCACCGCTGGCGACTGTAAAGGATGCGAGTGCGACCCCTGGGATTGAGTTACACTGAACGTGGGCGTGCACTTGTGCCTGGCTTCATGAATGGTTGTCAAAATGTATCATTGATTAGTGCATTACGAGAGAGCCATCGGGTAGGTATGTGTCTGGCTGGCACTATGCGACGCCAGGGACGCTTCCTTCCATTCCAATGTTGGCTCTAGCGCTCGTTTGCTCCCGACTGCATTTTGAGTCACTGGCCGCAGAATGCATAGTGTCTGATCTCAATGTTGTCATGGTAGACATTGATGACACGACGTTGCTTTTCTCTACAGGAGCACAGGCGGACAAAGACCTCTGCCTCAAAGAAAAGAAAACGTCGTGCGACGGAGACCTCACTCTCATCGGTGGAACATGCGGTGGGTACAAAATGGCTACGCAGATTTCTCTGGGATATAGACACATTTGAGAAAGTTGATTACTGATGCCGTAGAATGGTGATTACTATTCCGTAGACAGTTTCAAACAGAAACACAAAGCCGTCTCAACGTGACTGATCAGCTGTTTGAAGGCGCAAGTCGCAACTTCGAGGATCCGAAAAAAAGAAAACACTGTAGTTATTCGAAGATAGGTGTCTTGCGGCTGCCACACCACTGTAAACCCGTTCCACAATTCTGATCCACAGTGGAGACCGACTGGGACGATGCCACCACCTGTGTGAAGGACGCCAGCACCATCATTGTCGGACGGTGGTACTTCCCGGCCGAGAAGGACATCTGCAACCTGGACGAATGCTTCTGCTACTGCAATGAGCATAACTACTTCTTCACCGTCTTCTTCCCAAGTGCGCCCAGCTCTCCGCGAAGAAGGAACAACGAGTGAGAAACCGGTCACGTAAATTGTGACACTTCGGTTTTGTTCGAATATGGTATACCTAAATGTCATGAATGTAAATCAGATTTTGCATGTCGGATTTCCACTAAGTTGATTATTTTCATGTTTCTGACGAGCTTACTATTCGCGATGCACTGCACTGTTATGATCTCAGGCAGCTTTTGCCAAATTGTCAGGGAACTCAGATTTGTTTTTCAATAGAAAAACACAATTCTAAAGAATAGTGTTTTAACTATTGACAACAAACCTTCGGATACTTTTAAATCAAACAACATTGAGTTGCTCTTTTTTAATCGCACAAGAGTCTGTTGATGGTTGTCATAACCCCTAAATAATTGACCAATTTTACACATTCTCTCTCCTCAGCAACAAGCTTGTCCCCGGCAAAAAGGCCAAGTGTCTGTGCCACAACCACGCGGGCAAGGTGACGGGCGCGGGAAATCCGTACGCCATTCCGCTGGAACAGTGTGGCGACTCGCCCGAGTACGCCATCATTATCACCAACGGCATCAGCAAGGCGGCCCGCGCCGCCACCTACAGCGCCCACTACGACTGCGCCCGGTTCGGTGAGTTAGCCAGCGTTCGCCAGCGTGGTTCGCTAATGTTACAACAGTGCCAACTACGACTGAGCCAAGTCCGCTGAGTCTGCTTATCTCCGCTAGACACACGATAGAGCGTGTCTGTGTGTATTCCGTCAATATTCGAAAAGATGTCTGATGTTTTCAGATACATACTGCAGGTCTTATGTGTATTATTCATAATTCCAAGCATTATCACATGTTCGACCAGTCTCCATCGCAAATAATTACTGAACAGATGAAGCTCCTGTATGACCGCGAGGTAAAGGTTCCTTGTTCCTTGTTCCAGTTCTTTTGCCTATCTTTGTCTAACGGTCCCTACCGCTTCCACGAACACTACAACTAGAAACCTTCCAGTTTCTGTATCTGACATTGTCGCCTGTTCCCACAGTACACCCGGGCGTTCGGTCTCATGCCACCTATATCTGATAGACCTGACTTTACCGTTTCCACAGTGGCGGGCACTCGGTCTCAGGCAATGGCGGCAGGAGCCGGCCTGCCACCTGGACTTGGTGAGCAAAACAGGACAAGGAGTGAATGGCATAGCTCTGATATTCGCGAGAGATTTCGTGCATCGAACATAACAGTCGGCTTTGTGGGGAAAGATTTGATATTAATACAAAGAAGAGAGATTCGTACATTGACTATGATCATAATTGTTCACACTGTCATGCATTACGTTCAGAAATAATGGTTACAATGCTACTGCATTTTCATATTTATTATTCAGCATTCACACTGCCGCTCGCCACTAAAATATCAAAGATTTACATATCTCTTTGCATTTTCAGGGCCGACGAAAACAGCAACTGAACGTAAGTGTCGCCAACCCTCACCGCGGTGAGGGCTGCGTACGGTGCACCGTACGCAGGTGTAGGGTAAGAATCCTGGGTGCAGGGTGGTGTAGGAAAACTACATATGATGAAATGTAGCTGTACGAATGTTATGCGTTGCGCTTCAGCAAACAGCATTTCGTTATTTGCCTACAACACAACAGCTTCGTAAAACGTCGTCCCCACCTAATCACAGTCCTTTCGCAACTTTGTTATTGCAATATAGCACATAACAAATAGTCAAAAGCCTTTGCCCATTGTTCTAGAATGCCTGGAAGGCCAGGTGTGCTACAACGCCGGCACGGCTGTAAACGGACCGGTCGAATCCGCCCGCAAACAGACTGAATGTTACTGCAACTGCTTCAAACAGGGCTACTTCTTCGGTGCTTGGAATGAGAAAGGGTGAGTTAACTGCTTGCTAAATCATTGAGAGTTGAGGATGCATGGGACCGCTGCTTCACCTGAAAAGTGATGCAAACGTATTTCATCTTATATTGTAAATGTTTTCTTTTTTTGTCAGGAATACGGGCTCAACATAACCCTAATGTGCGTCAGCCTTCGGTTATTGTTAATATATTTTGTGGACATCTAATGACATTTATTGTTAGCAGCCATTGGTTATTTTAAATATATTTTGTGAACATCTTATGACATATTTTATTGATAGTCATCAATCACCCTAGTATGGAAGTCAAGAGGGACCGAGTCGTTCAGGAAGACGAGGCCATTCAACAATGACGAGACTCAGAGCTGCGCAAACCTATGGGTAATAAATTGCCGTCATTTTCGAAAGCACCTCGAGCTGCAATGGGAAAACGGTGCCATTGAATGTTTTTATGAAAGGTAACATAACATATTAGTTGACGCAACTGGCTTTTTTATTTCAGAAATAGATGCCAGTGCTCAAATCGGAAAATTAAACGCGCTGCCACAAAATGCAGAGATGACGGCAGCCAACTGAAAGTCCTGAAGCGAACATCGACTTTGAAGCGGGTTTGCTGTAAGTAGCTGAAATGGCGTGCTTCCATACTCATACTGCAAATGGACCAAAGTGAGCCATTTGGCACCAAAATGATACCCAGAATGGGCCTAGACCCCCTCCCCGGCCTGCATGCAACTTCTGCTGCCGGCGAACGAAGTTCGGTCGGTCAACTATCCTGTCCGACCCTAACAACTTTCCTGCCGCAAACACCTATCCTATCGTATTATGCTTAGGGTATGTCATCCTCACTGAAAACAGCATTAAATAGCGCACGGCTGGATACATCAGTGCACCAATTCGGATGGATTTTACGTTACAGACGTAATATTAACACCTCTAATTAACTTTTTGAAAAAGATGGGTTACGACTAGTTTATTGTTATTCATCAAATGACATCATAAAATAAGTCACCATGACAGGTCTCACGTTGTTACGTGCAAACAAAAAGTAGGTATGTCGCGTTACTCATATATGCACTGATGCAAAATATGCATATGTTTGACAGGTGAAGCAGTAAACGAAAAACCGCCGACAGAGGCGCCTCCCACCACCGCAGCGCCGACCACAGCGGCTCCCGAAGGTGATTACTGTATATGTCGTCAGTGTGGTGATTACCGTATAAATATCGTCAGTGGAGTTTAGGTATATGACGAAATATGAAAGAGCATGATCAGTTTCATCAGAGGCCTCTTGCACCAAAATCCTCTTGCACCAATGCTTGGATTATTTTGCATCGTATACCCAGTCCAAGTCTCAAATGTAACAATTTGCGTGCAAAATTTAGCAAGCACATGTAGGATTATGTATTGGGCTATTGCAAACAAATTTAACACCGTTAGATTAGCTTATTCTGAAACCAGTTTTTCGATTTTACCTAGCTAGGTAGTTTGGTGCAAGAGGCCTCAGATCAGTCAGTGAAATAGAGACGCGTAAAAATTTTCACGACAGATACAATATTAGGGTTATGT